AGTTAATAGGATGAAATTCAATAAGGACAAATGCAAAGCACTCCATTTAGGAAGGAACAATCAGTTGCATGCATACAAAATGCCTGACTAATCTAATTGCCTTCTATGACGAGATAACTGGCTCTGTGGATGAAGGGAAAGCAGTGGACGTGTTGTTCCTTGACTTTAGCAAAGCTTTTGACATGGTCTCCCACAGTATTCTTGCCAGCAAGTTAAAGAAGTATGGGCTGGATGAATGGACTATAAGGTGGATAGAAAGCTGGCTAGATTGTCGGGCTCAATGGGGAGTGATCAATGGCTCCATGTCTAGTTGGCAGCTGGTATCAAGTGGAGTGCCCCAAGGGTCGGTCCTGGGGCCGGTTTTGTTCAATATCTTCATAAATGATCTGGAGGATGGTGTGGATTGCACCCTCAGCAAGTTTGCAGAGGACACTAAACTGGGAGGAGAGGTAGATACACTGGAGGGTAGGGATAGGATACAGAGAGACCTAGACAAATTGGAGGATTGAGCCAAAATAAATCTGATGAGGTTCAACAAGGACAAGTGCAGAGTCCTGCACTTGGGACGGAAGAATCCCATGCACCGCTACAGACTAGGGACCGAATGGCTCGGCAGCAGTTCTGCAGAAAAGGACCTAGGGGTGACAGTGGACGAGAAGCTGGAGATGAGTCAGCAGTGTGCCCTTGTTGCCAAGAAGGCCAATGGCATTTTGGGATGTATAAGTAGGGGCATTGCCTGCAGATTGAGGGACGTGATCGTTCCCCTCTATTCGACATTGGTGAGGCCTCATCTGGAGTACTGTGTCCAGTTTTGGGCCCCACACTGCAAGAAGGATGTGGAAAAATTGGAAAGAGTCCAGCAGAGGGCAACAAAAATGATGAGGGGACTGGAACACATGACTTATGAGGAGAGGCTGAGGGAACTGGGATTGTTTAGTCTACGGAAGAGAAGAATGAGGGGGGATTTGATAGCTGCTTTCAACTACCTGAAAGGGAGTTCCAAAGAGGATGGCTCTAGACTGTTCTCAGTGGTAGCAGATGACAGAACAAGGAGTAATGGTCTCAAGTTGCAGTGGGGGAGGTTTAGGTTGGATATTAGGAAAAACTTTTCACTATGACGGTGGTGAAACACTGGAATGCGTTGTCTAGGGAGGTGGTGGAATCTCCTTCCCTAGAAGTTTTTAAGGTGAGGCTTGACAAAGTCCTGGCTGGGATGATTAGTCGAGGATTGGTCCTGCTTTTAGCAGGGGGTTGGACTAGATGACCTCCTGAGGTCCCTTCCAACACTGATATTCTATGATTCTATGAAAATGGGAAATGACTGCATAGGAAGGAGCACTGTGGAAAGGGATCTGGGGGTCACAGTGGATCACAAGCTAAATATGAGTCAACAGTATAACACTGTTGCAAAAAAGGGAAACATCATTCTGGGATGTATTAGCAGGAGTATTGTAAGCAAGACGCGAGAAATAATTAATCTGCTCTACTCCATGCTGATTAGGCCTCAACTAAAATATTGTGTCCACTTCTGGGCGCCACATTTCAGGAAGGATGTGGACAACTTGGAGAAAGTCCAGAGAAGAGCAACAAAAATGATTAAAGGTCTAGAAAACACGACCTGTGAGGGAAGCCTGAAACATGATAACAGTTTTCAAGGACATAAAAGGTGGTTACAAGGAGGAGGGAGAAAAATTGTTCTCCTTAACCTCTGAGGATAGGACAAGAAGCAATTGGCTTACATTGCAGCAAGGGTGGTTTAGGTTGGACAACAGGAAAAACTTCCTAACCGTCAGGGTGGTGAAGCACTGGAATAAATTGCTTTGGGAAGAGAATCTCCATCAGTGGAGATTTTTAAGAGCGAGCTGGACACACACTTGTCAGGAGGAAAGGTCTAGATAATACTTTGTCCTGCCATGAGTACAGGGGGAAATCTGCTACCTGTGGGCATTTGCTACAGCAGATAGCAGGTTCTTACGATCTACTACGTATTGATAACTGATAGCAGTAGCTCATTCCTACAGGGAGTCCTCCTCTCTGGATCCAGCCAGGGGCAGCCTGCCTGCACCCCAAACTCCTCATCCCCGGCCCCGCCACACCCCAGAGCCCTCACCCCCCCCACACCCGAACCCTCTGCCCCAGCCCTGAGCCCCAGCCAGAGCCCTTGCCCCCCCACACACTCCAACCTTCTGCCCCAGCCCTGAGCCCCCTCCTGCATCATGAACCCCTCATTACCAGCCCCACCCCAGAGCCCTCACATTTTTACATTATTTTAAATAAATATATATATATGTGCTTACAAGGCAGGTGTGGGTGTGGGTGTGGGGGGGAGACTTGGACCTGTTCTGGGCACCACCAAAAACTATACAAACTTGCCACCCCTGGGGCCACTCCAAGGATTTGGAGGACAAAGAGTAACGTTCCTACCGGGAAATCAGCTATGGCTGTAGAAATACCCACACAGATTCAGAAGACCTGTCCAGTCACTTCTCCACTGCCAGGTTCAGATTCGTTTGCCAATCTGCTTTATTTACTGACAGCCGTAGGAACCGATAGCCAGGAGTAATTTTCCCTTTGGGCGTTCTTGCAAGCGTGCGGGTGTTTTCATCCAGAACTCACTCCTGTGAAGCTCCAGAGTGAGAGAGTGAAAGATGGAAGGCAAACACGTGAGGCCAGAGTCGGTGCAACTCATGCAGGGAGGGGGAGATTTTCTAAAGCTCCTAAGGGATTCAGGAGCACAAGCCCTGTTGATCCTAACTCCCCTGTGTTTATGAAAATCTCCCCCTCTGAGTGTAAATTGCACCTGTCTGTGCCCATGATGCCTTTTGCATCCCAGACGGGAGGAAGCTGACCCCATGGGAGGGTAGGTGAGGCTGCTACTGCCCTCAGGGTGTTTCTGGCGGGGAGAGGGTAGCTTTTGCAGGTGCTCAGTGAGTGACTCGCCCACCAGCCCTGTTCCCTCCTCCCCTCTCCACCATGCACACTGATGGCCTCCATTCACTGACCCCATCCCTGGACAATGCACAACCCAGGGCAATGCAGACAGCCCCCCTGGCTGCTTCCCTTACATCACTTCATCTATTCTCCTACCCCACACATGGCCGCTGATTCTGTGGGCATTCATCCCCAAAGTGTCATGTGTGATGCTGACGTGTGTGTCGACACACTCATTTCACCATGGCCTCTCCTGGCCCTGCCCACTTGGTCTCTCCTTTCCAGTACCCCGAAAGGGGACAGTCATGTCCCTCATCACTGTCAAAGAAGCCGGCCACACCTCCTCCATTCCCATCCTCCTCAAAGAGGCTGGCCATGCTCCCTCCATCCATCCCCCTCCGTCTCCATGTACATCCATCCTAAGTGCTCTGCTTCCCTGTACTGGGTCCAGTCGTACCCTGTGCACCATGATTTGAGGACTTCAGTTACTCAGCAGGAGGTTAGGGGTCTATTACAGGAGTGGGTGAGTGAGGATGTCCAGCAGGTCAGACTAGATGATCATGATGGCCCCTTCTGGCGTTACAGTCTATGTGAGGGTTCAGCTTGGCAAGAGCTGGGCTCTGCCAAGCCAAGCTATCAGAGAGTCCAGCTTTGCTCACTGTCTCCCTGTCCCTTTTTTGTCTTTGTCCCAAGCGAGTTCCTGTGTCCCTGTGAGCCCAGTTCTTTAACAAAGACAACTGACACCTTCCTCCTTGCTCTCCAGCTCCATGCTTTTGTTCCACTTCACTGCAGAGAGATGAGGGGAAGAAACTTGCTCTAGGAGTTGACGTTCAGGCCCTGAAGCTTCCCATTGATCTAGGTTGATTCAAGCCCAGACAGTCCAAGTGTTTCTATGTTTCAAAAACTTAGTCTGATTTCATGTCCATGGGAAATTAGAAATAAAGCATAAAATTTTACCAGTGAGGGTGATTAATCGTTGTAACAAACTACCCAGGGAAGTGGCGAATTGTCCAGCTCTTGTTGTCCTCAACTCAAGCTTTGGTGCTGGGGTAGGTGACCATCCACTCTCATATTGTCACCACTTTTACAAAATTGTGATAAATCTTGTACAAAGAATACCTTGTAAGGTAAGTTGTAATCTGCTGCATATTATTATTTTGTTATAACGTGTGTATCAACGCTGTGTAGGGAGTTATGAGATTTTGCTGTATGTTTGTAACTCAAACATATTGTGAGTCTGAGAAACGCCCAAAGGTCTTTGCCTTTCATATAACTATGAATAACTGATGGCAAACCACGTACACCAAGGAACCGTCTGACCCCTGATGTGCTGGCCGCCACTTCCCACAGCTCCCATTGGCCAGAAACGGTAAACCGCAGCCCCTGGGAACTGCGGACGGCCGTGCCTGCGGATGGTCAATGTAAACAAACTGTCTCACGGCCCGCCAGCGGATTACCCTGACAGGCCGCAAAGGTTGCCAGCCCCTGCTCTAGATGATGTTACATTGATGTGTGTGGCCAGGAAGCAGAGAAGGAGCTTGTTCAGAAAGACGAAGGGCAGCCCAGCAAGCAATGCTGTGATGCCCCCCCACCCCTGCCCCGAGGTAGCAAGATCCCCAGAGAAGCCTCACCTGGGACAGATGTTACAGGAAGATGGAGCTGCTTTCCCCAAAACAATAAGTGGCCTAAGCCTACCACACTCAAGGGCTTTACCTGCACCAGCTTGTTTTCCTTAATATCGCCATTCTTATTTATCCATTCACTGGGAGTATGGTAACACCTACATGCCCCAGCCGAGATGGGGGCCCCATGGTGCTGGGCCCTGGACACACCAATAGTGAGAGACCATCCCTGCCCTGGAGAGTTTCTTGCAACCAGACAGCCGCTCTGGGGTTTTAGCCACAGCAACCTCTAACCCTGCTCGGAACCGGGGCAGACAAGGACTGCGGAGGAAATCCCTTCCCTTTTGGTGTATACCAAACACCAAAAGGTTACCTCCTCCCCCCTGCCCCACTGTCGCAGCATCACACTCACTCACCGTCCGGTTTGTTATTTCTCCTGTTCCCCAGACCCAGCTACGATGACGGGGAAGAGTCCCTCGTTCTCCCCCGGCTCCACAGCGAGCTCCGCTCTGCCTGGCTACGTCGCTCTCTGCCTCGTTCTGCAGGTTCACAGGCTGGTGTCAGGTGGGTGCACGGAGACCCCCCACAAGGACCAGTTCTCTGCCTCCTGCCCTTGTCCTCCCTCTCCATCATCTCTAAGGTTTTACCTTTCGAGTGACCACCTACGTAGTGACGATCTGTTTGCATATCTTCACGCTTTGTAAGCCCTTACGCCCTCCCTACAGCAGCTGGGGCGGTCCCTGGGCCGGAGTATCAGAGAATCAGGCCCCCCATGCCGTTGTCCCCGGGGTGTCCATGAGAAGCGTGGAGCCATATTCAGAGCTAATACAAGTAATGCATGACATTCACATACGAACCCTGTCCTCATCCACATGTGGAGGGCACTGCATGGGTACATGTCATGCGTTCTAATACAAGATACTCTCTCTTACTGTGTGTCTTACTGCTGAATTAACGCACCCCTCAACCCCTCTTTGATTTAATTTACACATTTCACAGCACAGTTCACCGTGACTGGACCTGATCATCCAATCACCGCATCTGTCGGTGGGGAGGCCGCCCTGCCCTGCCACCTCTCCCCCAGGATGAACGCTCAGAGCATGGAGGTGAGATGGTTCCGATCCCAGCACTCTGCAGTTGCACACCTGTACCATGATGGGCAGGACTGGTACGGAAATCAGATGTTGGAATATCAGGGAAGGACAGAGCTGCTGAAAGATGACCTCACCAATGGAGGTGTTTCCCTGAGAATATACGATATCCGACCTTCTGACGAGGGACAGTACACTTGTTTATTTCAGTCACTTACCTTTTTCCACGAAGCCTCCGTGCTCCTGCAGGTGGAAGGTTAGTAACTTGTTTCAGAGCTGTTTTTACTTCAGACACATTGAAGGGCTTGCTGAAATGCTCTGTACTCTGAGAATGCTTCTAAACTTTGCTTTGCAAGTGAAGGTTATGGAAGAGTTCAGCTTTCATGCATGTCCATTAGGTGGGTTCTTACTCCTGCTCAAACTATCAGTCCCCTGGGTTATGTAGCAGTTTATCCATGGTCCTTAGAGAAAATGAAGGATATGCACATATGATAAAACAGCAATCAATAAGGGACAGTGGGGCCAAATGGACTGGGAGTCAGGAGCCCTGGGCACTGTTCCTGGCTTTGCAACTGAACTGTTTTGTGACCTTGGGAAAATCTCTCTGCCTCGGTTTCTCGTCTGTGAGCAGTGCCCAGCACGCTGGCATCATGATCTCAGTTTGGGCCTCTAATCTCTATCGTAATTAAAACTGGCTGAGCTTGTGCAGGCTTTACACTCCAGAACATAGGGTTTCTCCGTCCATCGGTCTGTCTGTAACACAATAACTTCTGAATGCCACCTCTGATCAATTCCAAAATTTTAGGGAATTTTCTTGGCATCAAAGGCTAGAATTCTGTTGATCTTGGGGACAATCAGAAAACAAAAATGGGGGACATATGGAGCTGCTATCTGTTGATGGCACCCATTAACACCTTGAAGCATAACTGCCCTGCTCACCCTGCCAACAGAGTTTATCATGTTGACACCTCCAGTGATAGAAGAGAAATAATTGTTCTCCCTCCGTGGGGTGGATACTCAGCCAGCAGGGGCAGCCAGAGGGAGAGTAGAGAGGTGGAGACTTCCTTCCTTCCTTCCTCCTTCCCAATGTCCTGCCTCCTCAACACCTGCTCCAGATGGGGGAGAGGGAGCCAACCATCCACCCTACCCTTCCAATCTATGGGGGAGAAGAGACACCCAGAAACCATGGCATGATGGGAAGGATGAGGACCCAGTGTGGAGGACATGGAAATAGGACAGTAAAGGGACAGCGTGGGTGGAAGTGGGAATGGGAGTGTGCACACAGAACCCCTGGTATGTGGGGGATTGGGGGGAGTTGCAGGGAGTCCCTGAAATAAAGGGGGATGGGACAGTGACTTGTGGGGGGTATAGGAGGTATGCAAGGAGCCCCTCATGCATGCGATGCACTCAGCCTAAACAAGATACAAAGTGTGTGAATTAACACCTTTGTGATTTCAGTGCAAGTCTACGTGTGCGTCTTTTCAGATTAACAGTGTCCCATTTCACAACTGATTTAAATTAAATAAAAATTAGACACTCCTCATCCAAAAGAAGAGCGTTACACGCTGACTTGCACTGAAAGAACCAAAGATGTGAGTTGAAATTGGTTGGGTTTTGCTGGTACCAGTTTGTGAGTCGTCTAGCCCTGAGACTCAAACACTCTCATTAACGCAAGATTTATTGAGACTGGAGAGCGTCGATCATATTAAAACAAAAAGAAATGGTCTCTATAACCAATCTAGCCTGACACTACAGAGCTCTTCTAGGCCTAATCCAAAGCCCAGAGCGTCAATGTGAGGCTTTACGCTGTCTTCAAGGGGCTCTGGATCAAGCCTTGAGAGTGGATAGAACAATACCATACATTGGGGTGGCCAACTTGAGCCTGAGAAGGAGCCAGAATTTACCAATGTACCTTGCCAAAGAGCCACAGTAATATGTCAGCAGCCCCCCATCAGCTCCCCCCACGCCCGTCGCTCCCAGTGCCTCCCACCCACCAGCAGATGAGCGCCTCCCCGCACCTCCCGATCAGCTGTTTCGTGCTGTTTCATGGTGTGCAGGAGGCTCTGGGGGGAAGGAAGGAGGAGCGAGGGCACAGCAGGCTCAGGGGTGGGGGCGGGAAGGGACGGAGTGGGGGCAAGGCCTGTGGCAGAGCCAGGGGTTGAGCAGTGAGCCACCCCCCGGCACATTGGAAAGTTGGCACCTGTCGCTCCAGCCCTGGAGTCGGTGCCTAGACAAGAAGCCGCGCGTTAACTTCTGAAGAGCCGCACGGGGCTCCGGAGCCCCAGGTTGGCCACCCCTGCCAGACATCATCTCCTCCTTACCTTGGTCAGTGCGGTTACATCTTCCAGGTGTCCCAGACTTTCCTAGTTTACAAGAATCCATGTCCTCCCCCGATTCCCAAAGGGGTGTTCTCCCAGGCTGTCCCCAACTCCGGTAAGGGTTCACTGCTTAACTGGCCTATCACACTCATGGACTCACATTCAGTTATTAGTTTAATAGACAATTTCTTGAAGATACTGTCATGAAACATTTGGCTCATAACACGGTATTGTAGAATTAACATCAGTTCACTGCATTCCCCTCCAGGTTTGGGCTCTGGCCCGGACATCTCTGTAGAGGGACATCAGGATGGAGGGATCAAGGTTGTGTGTCGATCATCCGGATGGTACCCACAGCCCGAGGCTCAGTGGAAAGATCTCCATGGGCAGCTCTTACCATCAGCCTCTGAAAAAATATCCCAAGAGGCCAATGGCCTGTTTCAAACAGAGATTGCCATTGTTCTAACAGAAGAGTCCAACCAGAAAGTGTCCTGCTGTGTCAGGAACCCACGTGTCAACCAGGAAAGAGAGGCAACAATTTACATAGCAGGTCAGTGCCCGTCCATGCCGCACATGGATAGACTGAGACACTGCAGATGTTAGTGTGGAGTACTTACTAGAGTGTCTCCTATTAGTAAAAAGAAGAGGAGGACTTGTGGCACCTTAGAGACTAACCAATTTATTTGAGCATGAGCTTTCGTGAGCTACAGCCCACTTCATCCATCTTGAGCATCCTCAACTCTCTTTGGATGTATCTGGTGACTAAAAAATAGTTCTGTATAACGTCTGTGGACAATCTAGACTGACATGTAAAAGCTACCTCGAGTTAACTGACAGTTTACTCCAGGTAAAAAACTCTAGTGTAGACAAACCCTTGACTTCAATAGTAGCTGAGGGTGTTTAGCCCCTTGTGGGCTTGAACTCCATTGGCCAGAAAAAGTCAGCAGCCAGCAATCTCCTTTCTTCTCCGTGGGGCTGGAGGGGGAATTCTCCTTTGTTCCCAACGGGAGTTGCTGGGTGTTGAGCATTTTTGAAAAAAGCTAGCCACTAAAGTCATTTTCCCTGAACAGTGCAAAAGGGCCCTGGTCAGGATCTCAGCATTGCTGCTTAGACTGCATCTGAAAATATCCCAACAGTGTAAGAAGGGCTGCACTGTGGATCCCCTACTGGACTTCAGACTCTGGCAAAACTCCCATTGCCTTAAAGAGTTAGAACTGAGGGATCAAACTGTAACTTGTATTGAATTGCACAAAAGTCAGGAAATGCAGAAGTCCACAGCCAGCATAACCCGGGCCTCCCCTGGGCACATAGGTTGTTTTTTGGTTCCTTTCATGAGCCTGCTCCTGCATTCATTGTACAACGAAATCGTTGGGAGATTTGCTAGGCATAAACAATCAAGCCCATAATGTGTAAATACAAAATGTTATCTAAATCCATCTTAACGTTTTAGAAAACCAGCTGCAGCCCTTCCTGGCTACCCTATGGCATGCCCAGTGTATCAGTTTCACAGAGTCACCTTTGACTCCCTTCCTGGTCTTCCTTGAGGGCACCCAGTTAAGCTTTCCAGCTCCCAGTTGTCATCTCTTTTAGGCAGATACCTGCATCTCTCTCCCTCCGGACTGGGGGCTTGGACTTGCAGTCCCCTCTGCACCGCTCTGTGATTCCCCCGGCAGGTCTAGTCAGGCTCCAGCACCTGTCCATTTGCTCACCCAGGAAGAAAGCCCTGTCCCTTGAGTCTGTTTTAACTGCCTTTTATTCTGAAAGTCTCACTTTGTCCCCCAACCTCCTGGAAACAGGTAAAACCAGTCCCTCCCCCTATTCCCCAGAAGGTCAAGCTTCAAGGACTGGGGAATTTGCATAGCCACTGTTGGGGAATATTGTATGAATCACCCCCTCGTGGTTCTAGATTCTGTAGGAAACCCCTGCCCCCAGTGAGCAAGGAACGCACCGAGTATGTCTACACTGCAATGTAAACCCACCCTGAGACTCAGGCTTTGTTTGTTATTAAAATCCCTGTGTGGTTGAGCTTCCCTGAGCACCGGAGAGTCTGGAGAATCAGTAACTGGTTACAGCATTCTGATCTCGAGGGCCGGTCCGCACTGACTGCAGCCCTGACATCCGTTAGAGAAGCCTAGGGGCTGCTCTAAGTTACGCCAGTGGCAGATGGGTGTAATGGAGCTCTGCCGTGCCCCCTCCCTGCCACTAATATCCCCATTCTCGTTAATTAACCATATTTAGTAACCAGATTAGCACTTGGAATTTCATTGGCTTAATAATGAAACTCAAAGGAGTCACATTTCAGGTTGTATTTCCCTGTGAGATTCTTTTAACCAGTCACAGTGTCACCATTTTCTCAATGTCCTGTCTTCATTCTACATGCGTTTGTTCCTAAATCAATCTTATCTCTTGCAGATCTCTTTTTTCCGCGGGTCTCTCCCTGGGTGGTGGCTCTGGGGGTGATCCTGGCTCTTCTCATTGCCCTGGCCATCTATTGCATCTGGACACAACACAGAGCAAAAGGTAAAGTAAGAAGAAGGGAGAATGCAGTGTGCTAGGGGAAAGATTTGCATCAGCCATTACAGGGCGGTTGCCATCCACAGCCATTTATCTCCAGCTGCGAGGATTGCTGGTGCATGCATCAGTGTCATCCCGAGTGGGATTTCTGAAAATGTGCCTCCAGAAATTCTTTCTGATGACATGGAACCACACTCTGGGTCCAATGCAAAATTAGGCATCATTCCCAGAACACCTCTGTATGCCCCTTGTGGAAAGAGAACCGGAGGACTTGTGGCACCTTAGAGACTAACAAACTTTTTCGCACATAAGCTACAGCCCACTTCCTCGGCATCAGAGAAAGATGTGGAAAGGTAAGTACAAGCAGCATGCTGAAGGCACTCTGCTCTGATTCCACATGGCCAAAGTCTCAGAGTATTTAATTCATGTCATTAGCTCTGTCAGTGGTGTCGGGACAAAAAACAATGGCATGACCATATGGAATCAGACCACAGGTCCATCCAGTCCAGTGTCCTGTCTCTGACTGTGGCAAGCACCAGTTGCTTCAAAAGGAAGGTGCAAGAAGTCCTGCAGTGGCCAGTTATGGAATAACTTGCCACAAGGGAAGCTTCCCTCTACCTGCCATCAGTTATGCTGAGGCTCTGAAGCGTGAAGGTTCGTGGTCCTTCCAAAATGAGAGAATAACCAGAGAGCAAAGATTCTCTTGGAGGCAATGGCAATAGCGTAAAGAAAGAGCTGAAGTCCTCCTCCTAGTCCTCCAGGGGCTCAGAAGGTAATTTGGACTCGATAGACCGTCAAGAAATCTCCGCTGCACCTTGAAGCAGGAAGTCCATCTTCATATGGACTTGGGTGACCTACAGTTAACAGCATGGGCATCGGAGGAGACGTGCAAGTCTGCAGGGAGTATCCAGACAGAACTCAGCCTGGGAATTTCATTGTATTACATCTCAGAAGTGGGGGGAAAGAGAGAGCTCTCTGCGGCATGTTCTGTCTCTTTGTTTGTGACGTGCCCAGCACAATGGGGCCTCATCTCTGGATGCTACCGCATGACAAATAATAAAGACCACAATGTTCTAGTAATCTCAGCTACACTAGCTTTCTTCCAGGGTGATTATAGGGGTCCTACAACCTAGCACCACAGAAAAGTGGGTAACAGCCTTAGTGGGGTTGTGTAGGCAGGCATATTGGACTCCCCAGCTGAGTCATAGAATCATAGAATATCAGGGTTGGAAGGGACCCCAGAAGGTCATCTAGTCCAACCCCCTGCTCGAAGCAGGACCAATTGTGGCACCTTAAAGACTTGTGGCACCTTAAAGACTAAAAAGTATTGTCAGGTGTCAAGTTTCTTCATATTGGCCAGATGACACAAGCCTGCCACTACCTCGGAAAGACAGCCTCCAAGCTCCTGCTGCATGTCCCTTATGGGCTCAAGATGACATGAGCAGCCAGCTAGACAAAGGCACCTCCACTCCCTCTCTGAGCTAGGGCAGGTTTCCCAGGTATCACTAGGGCCAGGGGGCAGGCACCAGCCACAAGGTCAGGAGCTGGCCTAGGATGGAGCCAACCAGATCCTATCCCTTATCCAGCCAGATCGATGCCCCATTACCATTGCTCACTTCCTGCCCCCATCCCCACAGTCAGGAGGTGCGGGGAGCGGTGGCCATTCAGGGGATGGGTACAGAGGGGAGCAGACAGGGAACTGGATAAACAGAGACCTTCTCTACCCCACTCCCACAACAGCCAGATCTGACAGGAGTGTGATGGGGCCCAGGCAGTGAGGATGGCCCCTTGGGGAGACACGCAGAGCAATCCCTAGGAGTGATAGTCAGTGGGGCCCAGGCAGTAGGGATGCTGAGTGAAGGAACATCGAGACAGATCTGTCTGTGTGTCCTGTTTGTCTGTCTGCCTCGCTTGCATAAATTACATGAATAGCGGGAACTGCACCGTGAACACAACAAGGTGAAATCTCACCTCTTTTTCTCCCTTTTCTCTAGAGACCCTGCAAACTGATATGAAGAAACAGAAGGGTAAGTGTCTGGACCCACTACATTACCTGAGAGTAGGGTCATCTCAAACAGAGCAGGGCGAAATCTCACCTTTATTAACAAAGTACTCGAACAATTTACCAAGGGTTGTTTGTGGTGGATTCTCCATAATTGGCAGTTTATAAGTCAAGACCGGATGTTCTTCTGTAAGAGCTGCCGTCGGAATTACTGTGGGGCAGTTATCCGGCCTATGTTATATAGGAGGTCAGACTAGATGATCACAATGGTCCCTTCTGGCCCTAGAACCTATATATCACCTCTGCCCTTTTATCCCTCTAGGGATTCTGCTAACTGAAATGGAGAGTGAGAAAGGTGAGTGTCTGGGCCAGTTACATTCGCTGGGGGCGGGGGGGTGGTCACCATCATTAACACGGCAGGGTGAAATCTCACATCTCCCCCTTTTCTCCCCCTAGAGAAACTGCTATCTGAACTGGAGAAACAGAAAGGTCAGTGTCTGTGATCCACAAAACCCCACTTGGCTGACGCCTAATCGTGTAGGCATCTAAACTCACCCAGGGCATAAACTGGAGCTATAAAAGTTCTCCAGTTTGTTGTCTAAGTTTCTGTCTCTGGGCATGCATGCTGCTGTCTCAGTCTAGGCATCTGAGCACCTATCTCCCACCTGAGCCACAGCATGATCGATGAACCAGGGGAAGATGGGTGGAGGAGTGTCTCTCTCACCTATGGGGCCTGATATGGTAGTGGTGGGAGCAGAAGAGGACCTCCCTTATAACCTTTAACCCAACAGTTAGGGTACCCACCACGGTTGTGGGAGACTTTGGGTCAAGTCACCCCTCTGCCAGATGAGAAAGGATTTGGACAGGGATCTGCCACCTCTCGGATGAGTGCCTTAACCACTAGGCAATGGGATATTCTGACATGGGGCTCCCTCTATCCCTTTTGCTGAAGTTGTTAAACTTAATTCAATATTAAATGGGAATCACTATAATCCTCCTTCCCCCTGACCATTTTGTGTGGAGTAACAGCTTCCGTACTGACCAGCGGTAATTCGACCTAAGTTACGCTACTTCCGTTACGTAAGTTATTGTAACGGAAGTTGACGTAACTTAAGTCAACTTACAGCGGTGTCTACCCCGGGCTATGTAGACGGGAGATACTGTCCCCACTGACTTCCCTGCCACCACTCAATCACCAGACCCGCTACATCGATCATTGATACATTGATCACAGCAGTGCCGATTTAGCTGGAAGTATAGACAAGCCTATCGGCATGAGCCATACTATCTTCCATGGAACGACTTAGTAACCTAAGCCACCTGACTGCGGGAAAGGGGTTCCCAGCTTTGGGTCACTAGCAGTGATGGGCCTCTCTCTCCAGCCCAAGGCACCAAACCCCTGAGAAAGGCAAACACCCCTGTTATTGGCATCTCCCATTGGCTATCTTTGGCAGCTGCCTGCCTCGTGTGCTGGCTTTTGTGGATCCCATTCTAAAGGGCCATCTCTTGCCATTCATTGTATAGGAAGCCGGGGGTCAATGACGACCACCTGCTGACAGTGTGAGCTTTGTCTGTGCGCACCAGAGAAAACTCTCCCCCAGGTTCTGGCAATACCAGCTCTGGGCTCTGCAAGCCCCACTCTCTCTCTCTCTGCGGACTAGCAATTTACATACCCCAATTTGATACACTCAATTGCCCAGTCCCTTGTCATCTGGACACCTGTAATGCACACCAGTCCACTGCCTCTGTGGAATCAGGGCACCCCAGTTAACTGGCTTCACCTCATTTCAACACTCGTGACCACAAGGCACTTAGAGTAAAACCAATCAAGTTTATTTTACAGATCTTGAGATAAAGATTCAAATAAAAGCAAGTAAAAGGATTTGCAAACATAAGGTTACAGGTAAAAGAAAAATATAAAATGCAATCTTATGGTCTGTACATCTTAAAATACTTTCCTGTCCAAAAAGGTATTTCTCACTCAGTGGTCATTCCAAACAGTGCTTATCCAATCCATAAAGCCCAGATCCACCCTTCATGAGACACTCCTGCTAGCAGAGTCCTCTTCCATAATGGATAAGATCTTGTGCACTTTCTTCTCCTCTTATACAATCCTAAACTATAGTCTTTTCATAATCAGGGTGTTTCACTAACTTCAGCTCAACTCTGATGGTCCCCTAGTCAGAGTCTTCTCTTGGGGTCCATTTGTCTTTGTAAATGCTTACGCCTGCATCTGCCCCAGACTGTAAACATAGGGATGGCCTGGGATGTTAGTTGTTCTCCCTGCTGAATGAGTGGGTTCTGAGACTCACCCAGCCTCAGGTGAGCTGTTCCACCTTCAGAAGTGTTGGTGAACACAATATTCTACATGTTACAGAACTATTTTTTCCCTTGTACAGACATCTCACAATAACTATGAGAATCATCTAGGTGTTAGCTTTAGGCAGAGACCACATGTGACCCTCTCTTTGATGAACTATCAAGAAGATCAGAGAATCTCAGGGTGGGAAGGGACCTCAGGAGGTCATCTAGTCAAACCCTCTGCTCAAAGCAGGACCAATCCCCAATTTTTGCTCCAGCTCCCTAAATGGCCCCCTCAAGGATTGAACTCACAACCCTGGGTTTTAGCAGGCCAAAGCTCAAACCACTGAGCTATCCCTTGTCAGACACTTGTAATACGCCTGCTTGGGCATGTCTCTGTCACAAGCCAAGGCCCCTAACTCAGGCTTTGTGGATCTCATTGTTTTCCCTATGATTTTTCTGGACACCTAGAAGTTAGGCTCTGTGATGCTCAGCCTCACAGCACCTAAGAGCCCTTGTGGATCCAGGCCTGTGGCCTCAGTATAATATAGACAAGGGGAACAGATAGGAAGAAAGTCTGTGTGTACAGTGATCCGTAGGGGAAAAAACGCGGCTGTAAGTTTGCCATCACTTAAGTCAACTATGTCACTTTATGTCTCTCTTGTTATTTATTTTTAGAAAAGCAACTTTCAGACAAAGGTAACATTTCTTCATTACACTTTAAGGGGGAGGGATGGGGAGCAGAGGGAAAAATCTCAAACTTTGCAATGAATTTCTTGGATCTTCCGGGCAGCTATTAAGGGATCTCACTATGAACCGAAATTTAGATTGGTTTGTTCTGTGTGCAAAGATGTTCTCCATCTTTGCCCCTTACTCAATATGTCCAGAGTGTAAATGCTTCCAAAGTCCCAATGATTTTCAGCAGAACTTGGCTGCCTAAGTCACTTAGGCGGTTTTGAAAATTTTACTGACAGTGGCTGGGAGAAGGCTGGTGCTGGGAATGGAGTTATGAATTTCCAGCCATTCAGACAATGAGGCTGAGATTTTAAAAGCTATCTAAGAAATCTGGATGCCTGGCAAATTCCTGTTTGAAAAAACACCTTTTTACTTATTAAAACTTTATTTGCTATATATAACAATTTATAGGTAGTTTTCAAAAAACCCGTAACTTCAAGCTAGCAGCTTTTATTTGGGGATAGTTATCTGTGATGAACTGTCCCTTAAATGTATATTCACTAAATGTCCCAATTAAGCAAAGTACTTAAGAATCTGCTTAATTTCTTTGCTGAACTAAGCCCTAAAAACCTGTGCTCTTAAGAATACAGACGTGGCCAGCGCAAATCAGACCAGGGCCCACCTAGCCTGGGGTTCTGTCTCTGACTTGCGCTACCAGCTGCTTCAAAGGATGACGTGAGAAATCCCTAGTGGCCAGTGATGGGGGCCGATCTGTAACCCCTTGCCCACCTGTCACGGGGAGGAGGAGGGGGACATAGAGCTATCTCATGGAGCCAGGAAGCCCTGATCTCTGGCCCAGCTTTCTCTGTGCGGTATCTGGTGTGTGTAAAATATTACATGTAACAGCTGGGACAAGAGAAGTTGGGTGACTTTCCCCACAAGTGCTGTACTCTGCTTAGCATCTTAAGGAAAAAAATCTCTCAACGACAGTAATAATACCAGTGAGCAGAGGTGAAAGTAAGCCGGTATGGTCCAGTACGCCGTGCCGGACCGGACCAGCTTCCCCAGGCTGGCACTTTAAAGGACCCGGGGCTCCCCGCAGTGGCCAGAGCCCCGGGCCCTTTAAATCGCCCCTGAGCCCCAAGGCTCCCAGCTGCCTCTGCAGCTGGTAGCTCTGGGGGTGATTGAAAGGGCCTGGGTATTTAAAGACCCCGCCTCTTCTGGTTGAGGCCACGCCTCTTCCGGTTGACCCCCCCGCAGGACTCCGGAGTACCGGTAAGTCCTTTAAGTTACTTTCACCCCTGCCAGTGCGGGGGGATATTACTTGTATCTTGACTATTGCACATTAACTTTTGTGACTCAGGATTAATTCACATTGTCTTACTTTCCAGCGGAATATGAGGCAATGGCAGGTAAGTGTGTTTTTACTAGGTTCCATAAAGCTCAATCTTGGAAAGTGATCACTGAAAATGCTGTATGCAAAGACGCTTAGTATAAAGTAAACTAATGTGTGTTACTTGTTACAGTGACACACAATACAAGGGGAAATCCAGGCCTAGGACTGATAACATACAAATATACAGATATTAGCTAGAAATAATAAATGGAAAATTTGTGGCACTGAAATATGAATATTAAGATTTATTTTTCACATTAACCCTTGAAAAATCGCAAACAAACTTCACTTTCTGTCTTCAGAGAGCTCTTGTGATAATAAGCAGAGGTAAATAGTGAGGTGGCAACGTTTGCAGAGGATGCAAAAGTACTCAAGATAGTTAAGTACAAAGCAGACCGTGTTAAAAAGGGATCTCACAAAACTGTGTGACCAGGCAACAAAATGGCAGATGAAATTCAGTGTTGATAAATGCAAAGTGATGCAAATTGGAAAACATCATCCCAACTATAGATAGCTCTGGTCACCCCATTTCGAAAAGGTACAGAGAAGGGCAACAAAAATGGAATAAGGGTACGGAACAACTTCCGTACAAGGGGAGATTAAAAAGACCAGGACTGTTCATCTTGGAAAACACATAACTAAGTGGGGAGATATGATAGAGACCTATAAATGGTATTCAAATGGGTTCACCCAATGAAATTAACAGGCAGCAGGTTTAAAACAAACCAAAGGAAGTATTTCTTCACACAGTGCCTCTGGAACTCACTGCCAGGGGATGTTGTGAAGGCCAAAACTATAACTGGTTTTAAAAAAAGAACTAGATAAATTCATGAGCTTACGTCCATCAGTGGCTGTTAGCAAAGATGGTCAGGGATGCAACCCCATACTCTGGGCCTTTGACTTCCAGATGCTGGGCCTGCTGACAGGGGATGGATCACTTGATGATTCCCTGTTCTGTTCATTCCCTCTGGGGCGCCTGGCACTGGTCACTGTCGGAAGACAGGATAGTGGGCTAGATGCACCTTTGGTCTGACCCAGTCTGGCCGCTCTTAACAATAATTATCTCTGACACAAAAGACTCAACCCTCCAAATTTATTAGTTTAGTCTCTCAGGTGCCACAAGTCCTCCTTTTCTTTTTACGGATGCAGACTAACACAGCTGCTACTCTGAAACCTGACAAAAGAAGAGGTCTTTGAACTGGAAGCCAGAATCTCTCATATGCCAAGATCTGCTTGGAGTATTGTATTGGGGGAGGGGGCCAGTTAGGGAGTTGCTTATGGCCCCTGAATTCTCAAGATGACCCAGCATCAATCACCGCAGCCCCTGTTCTAATTTACTCCAGCTGTCTGTGGTCCCTGAATATTGGCTGTGTGATCCAGTTCTGCCCCTCTGCCCAAACCCTATGATTCCTGACATGCCCCTATGCCAGAGGAATTCTCGGATGTCCTGTTAGGGCCCAGTTCCCTGCGTGAAGTGACCAGAGCAGGGGAGGGAACCGGGCCCTTTTTCACTAAAGGCCCAATTCTGCCACCCTGACTCACATGAGTGACCCTCACAGGTGCAGTCCCATTGATTTCTAGGATATAGGTTATGCAAGATTGGGTACAATAAAGCAGAAGCCCTGATTAATAATTAGGAGTCCAATCCTGCTGTCCTTACTCGGGCAAAATTCACACTGAAGCCAATATAATTTGGGTTTAGAATGGGGTAGTTTTATCATTGATAATCTCTACTAATGGTTTATTTGTGCTTTTATTCCTTTTTCTCCCTTTTCATTCCCATTGACCCCTCCGGCAGAACAAAGTAAGCTCTGGTTTTAGTTTTTGTAGCTTAATTTTTTAGCAATTTTTCTCTTGTTGAGTTTGTGTATTTGGTGTAAATTCCCATTTCTGTTTCTTTCAGCACGTGACAAAACCCAAAGATTCACAGGTAACTAAAGCTGATACTAAGTGATGCTCAGCCCTGTTTCCCCAGGGGTATTCCCTCCCTGTAACCCTCCAGGGCGGGAGGAGTGTCAGTGACAATTCTTTAACTGCTCTCTGTTTCTATTTTGTAGCACCTAGTTAATGAATTGTTTATTTCACTGTGAACCATTTCTGGCAGAACATCCAGCTAATGAACTTATCCAACCCTGCTGAATGTGATGGCAGATACTGGATGAAGAGGGAAAGGGCAGCTGGTGGCTCTAAAAAGGTTGCTGCGGTGGGGAACGAGGGAATCAAACCTCCTCCCACCAAATTTAGGGCTCCTTGACATGGAGCATTCACAGGGAAGTTTGTGTGAAATAGCTAGGGTGTGGATTTAATACACAACAGCTACTGTGTACTAATGCCCCTTGTGGACACTCTTATTCCAAACTTCTGTTCTTCCAAAGTGGATTAACCTAAACCAAAGAAGAGCATTCTTAGTATGCAATGAGAGTGTCCAAACAGACAGCTAGTGCTGAGTAGCTATTCCACACTAGCTACGTTAAGGGCTTGTCTACATGGGGAAAAGCCAAAAGTTAGTTCCAAGGAGAAGAGGAGATGCATCTCATCCTGTCCAGTGGACCACAAGCCCTGACTACCCCCTCCTTGGCTGTCCAGGCTCAAACTCCCCCATGACGGCTCTACACTGCAGATGCAGACTGCAACATGAACAGCTGCTGCACCTGGGAAATCTGAGAGCAGCATAAAATGACCTGAATTTCATACAACATTAAAAGCCAGATTCTGCTATCCTTGAGCAATGGGACACTGAGCAGTCTCACGCCTCGAGTAAGTGTGGCAGAATCTGGTCCTAATACACTTATTAGCAGTAGAGTTCGGCCTAGAGTTTCCAGCTAGGCTAAGGGCCCCAGTGCTGGAAGCTGTAAAGACACATAAGAGAAGACCATAGAATCATAGAAGATCAGGGTTGGAAGGGACCTCAGGAGGTATCTAGTCCAACCCCCTGCTCAAAGCAGGACCAATCCCCAACTAAATCATCCCAGCCAGGGCTTTGTCAAGCCTGACCTTAAAAACTTCTAAGGAAGGACATTCTACCACCTCCCTAGGTAACGCATTCCAGTGTTTCACCACCCTCCTAGTGAAAAAGTTTTTCCTCATATCCAACCTAAATCTCCCCCCCTGCAACTTGAGACCATTACTCCTTGTCCTGTCATCTGCCACCACTGAGAACAGTCTAGATCCATCCTCTTTGGAACCATCCCTTCCCCAAAGAGCTACCAATCTAAATAGACCAGGCGGACACAGGGTGAGGGAGAGGACGGACCATTCCTCCCATTTCACAGGTGGGAAACTGAAACACGGAAAGATTCAGTGACTTATCCAAGGTCACGGGGAGAGTTTGTGACAGAGCTGCAAACTGGACCTACATCCGCTGGTTCGTAGATCAGTGCTTTAACCACAAGAGAATCTGTTCACTATTCCAATAACCAGAAGGACACTGGGCTGGAGTGAATGTAGAGGGGCAGTGACAGGGAGAGGGCTTGGGGAGCTGAGTCGCACAGCGTCAGGGGACTGTCACATAAGCTGGTCTCGTGTGCTGTGATTGGACACATGGTGCATATGTGCAAGGAGCGGTTAGTGGAGGAGTAATGGGAGGGGCAGTCGGTGCTGGGAAGCCAACCGAGAGCCGTGGATTTCTGAGGAAGGAAGGTGGAGGTCGCTTGATGCTTAACAGCAGATGTAGGGCGTGCCGGGGGGGAAGACGACAGCAGTGTCCCCCCAGGCGTGGCCTCAGGCCCTGGGAGACTTGCTGGCTGCTCCAGCTCAAGGTCTCCAGCAGGGACCATTCATGCTGGTGCCCCACTTGCTGCCAGAGCTCCCAGCCTCTGACCCAGCCTCCCCTGCAGGCTCAGCCCGTGCCAGGGCCGATGCGGAGCTGCTCGGGCTGCTCCTCCCCTCGGCCCCTGGATTCTCTGTGCCTGGGACAAACAGACGGGCAAGGGGGCAGGGATTTGCTCCGAGACCCACGCCCTGGGCTGCACCCCGAGGGCAGAGACCAGCCAGGGCCGGGCAGCAGAGTGCCACCATGCTGGGATTAAGCCTTTCCTTCCACCCCCTCACCCCCAGCCGGTCGGTGCCACTCGACTCCCATGCTCCGATCCCAGGGACCCCCGAGCTGCCAGAGACAGAACAAAGGGCTGCTGGCCCCAAAGGGCTCCCAGTCTGAGTGCAGACGAGGCCCAGGAGGAAAGCAGCAAATGCTTTGCGGGGTGGGGGAAGAGTCCCAGCATTGAACCAGCTGCTCCCTGGGTCTGTCTGGCTGGGTCTGACAGAGTATCGTAGTGACCCTGCTGGCTTCGTGCCGGGCTGTGGGGAGGCGGTCACTCCCCGTTCAGCATCGAGTCAGCAGGGTCACTGTGATACTTTGTCAGACCCAGCCAGACAGGCCCAGGGAGCAGCCTGACGTCAGGAGAAAGCAGGCTCAGGTGAAGCTGGAGGCTGTGGGGAAGCAGGAGCCGCCTGGGAGCTGGGGTGGCTGGATACGGGGCCAGGAGCCCCAACACCGTCTGCCCACTTAGCATCATAGACTATCAGGGTGGGAAGGGCCCTCAGGAGGTGTCTAGTCCAACCCCCTGCTTCAAGCAGGACCAACCCCAACTAAATTCTCCCAGGGGATCCTGCCCATCCGTTCCCTGAGGGAGTCAAAGTCTGCTTTTCTGAAGTCCAAGGTCCGTATTCTGCTGCTCTCCTTTCTTCCTTTTGTGAGGATCCTGAACTCGACCATCTCATGGTCACTCCTGCCCAGGTTGCCACCCACTTCTACTTCCCCTACCCATTCTTCCCGGTTTGTGAGCAGCAGGTCAAGAGGAGAACGGCCCCTGGTTGGTTCCTCCAGCACTTGCACCAGGAAATTGTCCCCAATCCTCTCCAAAAACTGCCTGGATTGTCTGTGCCCCACTGGATTGCTCTCCCAGTGGTCAGTTGCTCCTGGTGCTCACCTGTGGGTCACCATTGGGTCAGATCCTGCTGTGAGGGTCCCACGCAGACAGACTGGAGAGAGCGAGGCTCTGTCTGCATGGGGAATAGGCAGCAGTTCTGTTAAATGGGCGCCAGTTTTACAGACTCATCATAAGATGGTACCCTTGTCTCCCCCCCCCCCGCCCCCTCAGCTGGCTCAGGGTGGCCTGGCAAGCACCCTCCCTCAGTTTCCCCTCTTGAGCACTCCTTAAGTTACTCCACACACCCCAAAAGGTGGGACACAAAAGTGCCCTGCTGGGGTCTACTTGATACGAGTCCAGATAAACCAGAAAATAAAATCTCTTCCTTCTCTGGGCTCCAGCCACTGGCTCTCACTCTAACTCCTCAAGTCAGGAGCCCTCAGACCCTCCTTCGCAGAGCTGGGTTCAGTTCAGACTGTAGCTTCCTTCTCTATAGGCACTTTCCCCAGCCGGGAGCAGCTCTCCAGCCTTCAGTCCTGCTTCAGCCACTACTAGGAGCTCTTAATTCTCCCTGAGGGGAACCCCTCTCTCCAGGAGCCCACCTTCCAAGCCCCTCTCCTGGGAGCTCTTCTGGTAGCATCTTTGTGTCTCTAGGATCCCTTCAGCTGAACCCTAGTAATCCTTTATTAGGCTTGTTAGCTAATTAGCTGCCAACCGACCACCTAGGGTGGGTCTGAGTCGGCTCCTTCTCCCTTATAGGAACCGCTCAATGAGCTCGCCCGCATTTCACTCATATTTTGCTGAGCGCGTCTGAGCTCAGTTCAGGTCGATTCCTCGCCTACTTGGAGCTAAATGCAATCAGCTACTTCCACAGGGAGATGGGAGAGTCACTCAGGGGTCACTACAGCAGTGCTCAAACCAGTTTAAGTCAACCCAGTGTACTTTCCTCGTGTAGACAAGCCCAGAGGCCCTCTTGAGCGGAGCAGGCTCTGCAGGGAGCTTTGCACTCATCACCCTGCTTGTCTCTGTTGGAGTGAGAGTCACTTAATAAAGACTTGTTCCACCCATCTGCTTAGTAAGGCAAAACACTCACCACGTGGTTATCAGTTACTTATAAGTAATTGCTCATTAGGATGGTCTCATCGGTCTCCTCCAGCACCGGACAGTACAGCTTTAACCTCCCTTTGTTATACAATTTTTATCTTTTTGTTCTCTTCACTTATACATACATATTAGTCTCATTTCCATGTTAACTCTCCTCCCCAGCATTAGGTATCATAAAGACCAGGGGCAGGCACTCCTCTCAAAGTCAGGAGCTGGCCTACGATGAAGCCAACCAGACCCTGCCTCTGACTCAACCCAGGTCAATGCCCCATTCCCATCGCTCTCTTCCCTCCCCTATCCCCCCCCCCCATTGAATTGTGGGAAAGGCCCCTATCAGAAGGCCCCTCCTCCAGCCTAAGGGGAGGAGCCACTAAACCTAGGGTTCAACTAATCAGTGGGACAACCAATAATTAAACAGGGACAGTAAGGAGGGTCAGAGGTTCAAAAGCAGGGATGCAGAGGGGGACACCAAGCAGAGAATCCCAGACAGTGCCCACTGCTCCTCAAAGGTCCGCCATCTCCAAAGTCAGGAGCTAGGGCCTTTCAGGAGATAGGCTCAGAGGGCAGCAGAAAGGGAACTGGATAAACAGAGACCTTCTCTCCTCCCTTCCCACGACAGCCAGATCTGATGTGAGTGGATCTGGGGCTCAATAAGCAGGGATGGCTGCCATGGCCCAAAGAGTGCATAGCATAGGGGACAGGTTGAGTCATCCACTACTGCAGTTCGGTCTCGGGCAGCAGGGATGCTGAGTTCAGGGACCTCCACAGACAGACAGATCTGTACGACCCACGTGTCTGGCTATGTGTTCTTGTTTCTCTATTTCATAACTACAGCAGAGCTGCATTAAACAGTAATAGGAACTTCTTCATCAGTGTGATGGAATGAAATCTCACCTCTCCCTCTTTTCTCCCCCTAGAGACCCTGCAATCTGAACTGGGGAGAGAGAAAGGTCAGTGTCTGGTTCCGTTACATTAACTGACATGAGGCTTATTCTCAAATACAACAGGGTGAAATCTCACCTCTTTCCCTTTTCTCCCTCTAGAGACCCTGGAATCTGAACTGGAGAGACAGAAAGGTCGGTGTGTGGGACCAGTGCCGTGGGTTAAAGGTTATATATATCGATGATTTAATTGGGGATTGGTCCTGCTTTGAGCAGGGGGTTGGACTAGATGACCTCCTGAGGTCCCTTCCAACCCTGATATTCTATGTGACTGGTTCCCAAAAATGTGGCTCAGTGTAAAGATCTTCATAGGGACATGGCTGGGCCTGGAGGGCCCATGGGAAGTGATGGCTCGGGCTGCGGCTGTGGGGCTGTGTGGACTGCAGTGGGGACATGGCAGAGCAATGGGAAGCGGTGATGGGTGGGAAATCAGCAAACCCTCATTTCAGTAGGGGTTGTGGGGGAAGGCATTTGCACAGAGACAAGTCTGATGGGGTGGGAGGGGGCTACACATGTGATCTGGAGAAAGTGCAAAACACACATTACAAATAACCTACTAGTGTTTGAAGGAGCCCAAGCGGTGAGATTAGGGCTGCTCATGCTGACACAGACAGGTTCTTAAGGAGAAGGGGCCAATTGTCCTAATAAACCCCATGGAAATGATAGAAACAGCACCCTGAGCCTCGGGCCTGAGTAGCCCTAGACCAGCCAGGCCAGGGTCATTGCTGGTGACTGAGACTTGTCCAGTGTTTAGCAGGATCCCTCCCATATTCTGGCCCTTCTGTGGCCATGTAAAGAGGGAAGGGGCAGGATTTCACCCTCAGTGACCATGGGCTGTGTTTCTTTGTTTTGGTATCCAGGAGGCATTTTGTATTGGGGCGGGGAGGGAAGGGGGAATGTATTTCCTCTCCCTTTCCCGTTTTAGCATGAAGAGAGGTTACTCAATATTTGGATAGAGGTGTGAGGGAATTGAATTCGCTTGTTCCTCACCCCAGCAACCTTTAATTTCAGGTAGCTGCCTCCCTGGCTCCCCCAATATCTGCCATTGCCCCACTGTCCCCCACCCCAGTATCTGCCCTTGCATCCAGCTATGACAGAGGAAGCACATGACCTGGATGCTTCTGCTAAAATGATCAGCACTAAGATAAGAAAAGTCACTCATTAGTGTCAGCATCCCAACCCCACTGTGATGAGTGTGAGCAGCAAACAACGCTGCTTGCAGATCTCCCTGGGTTGGGGCACTGCTTACACCCAGGTCACTTGCAGAATGCTACCTTCATACCCAGAAAGGCTGCACACTTATTAATACATGGCGGGGGAGATTTTCACCCCCACTTCAGTCCTTTATGTGCAGTAAAAAGACCAGAGCAGTGTAAAAGGGCTCCAGAAGGCTTGGATCCAACTGCGGGAAGCACTGCAGAGAACCCACTCGAAAGCCCGATTGTACGGGTGTATGGGAGATGGGACTGGGAACAGGAGGGGTATTCGGGGCGAGGGCCACACCACACAGTGAAAGGCTGCCAGAACTGAAGGCATACGCTAAGCCACAAAAATACCCAATAAGAGCGCTTACATGGTGCATTGTACCCATAAAACAAGAGTGGTTTAAATTCCCACCTTACCTTACACTGGTGTAATCTTCCCCTGCAGAGATGCCTCGAGTTAAACTGGGGGCTGCTTTGGCATCCAGAGCACCCAGGATCAGGAGGATGTGGGTGGGGTGACTTAAAGTCACCTTCGTCCTCACATGCCCCTGGGCTGCAGGTTCCAAGCACAGAATCTCACCCTAAGAGTTTAAACCACGGAGCACAATTATGTGGCAATTCTTTAACTAGAGGGTTGCAGACTTCATTGCTTACATAGGCCCAGGGGAGTATCCAGCTGGGCTCCTCGGGCCCCCCACTTCAACTGGGTCCCGCTCCCTCTGCCCCCAACTCTGGCCAGAATCCCATTGATTTTGGAGAAAAGCAGAAAACTGGAAAAACTAATTTCCATTAAAATCAGGCTTTTCTGATTTTCACCCAAATAAATCACTAGGGTTCAGACCAGAGTGGGGAGATGAGGGGCCTGGCTGGAATACAGAGGTGAGGAGCCCAGCTGGTAGAGGCTGGCTAAATAGGAGACAAGAAGTCCAGCGAGGGGGGGGACTGACTGGAGTGGGGATGAGGGGCCTGCTAACCCTAACCTCACCCTCACCTTAAACCCTAACCTTAACCCTAAGGTCACTGCCTCATCCTGTATCTTGGGGGATCAAACAAACAGTGATTTTAGTGGAAATCAGGCTTCTACAGATTTCCAGTTTTTACCAAAACCATGAGGATTCTGCCTATTGATTCCTAAAACATGCCCTGAAATGCTGGATCTGATGGGATGTTTTTTTCAAAAGTTATTCTATCACAGACAGAAATGCCATCGAGTTCAATGTGGGGCCTTGCTTCACTCAGCCAAAAGGGAAAGGAAACAGCCATTTACTCAGCATTTCAGCTGCACTGGTCATTGAGTCCCCAGTATCATGCTGGCAGTGGGAATAGCTAGGCTTATGTAAGCGGGGGTGTCAAGGTTCCTTCCCCACTCTGAACTCTAGGGTACAGATGTGGGGATCTGCATGAAAAACCCCTAAGCTTATTTTTACCTGCTTAGGTTAAAACTTCCCCAAGGTACAAACTATTTTACCTTTTGCCCTTGGACTTTGTTGCTGCCACCATCAAGCGTCTAACAAATATATAACAGGGAAAGAGCCCGCTTGGAAACATCTTTCCCCCCCCAAAATCCTCCCCAAGCCCTACACCCCCTTTCCCGGGGAAGGTTTGATAAAAATCCTCACCAATTTGCATAGGTGAACACAGACCCAGACCCTTGGATCTGAGAACAATGAAAAAGCAATCAGGTTCTTAAAAGAAGAATTTCAATTGACGAAAAAAAGTAAAGGAATCACCTCTGTAAACTCAGGATGGTAGATACCTTACAGGGTAATCAGATTCAAAACATAGAGAATCCCTCTAGGCAAAACCTTAAGTTACAAAAAAGACACACAGACAGGAATATTCATTCTATTCAGCACAGCTATTTTCTCAGCCATTTAAAGAAATCATAATCTAACGCATACCTAGCTAGATTACTCAGTAAATTCTAAGACTCCATTCCTTTTTCTGTTCCCGGCAAAAGCAGCATACAGACAGAAACAGACCCTTTGTTTTTCTCCCTCCTCCCAGCTTTTAAAAGTACCTTGTCTCCTCGTTGGTCATTTTGGTCAGGTGCCAGCAAGGTTACCTTTAGCTCCTTAACCCTTTACAGGTGAGAGGATTTTTCCTCTGGCCAGGAGGGATTTTAAAGGTGTTTACCCTTCCCTTTATATTTATGACAGGGGGAATGGTCCTGCTATTGTGGGGAACTTTCCTGCCTTATACACGACCCTGGTGAAGTGGGCTGTGAAAAGGATCTGAGTCCTCGCTCCCACTTCCTTACCCAGAGGCCTCCCTGCCCTGGAGGACTCCCCTTCCACTCTCCTGTGTGGCAGAGTCCTCATAACCCCAACAAGGCTGGGCCCGGGATTCCTGGGGGGCTCGACCCCCAACCCTGCTGTGGTCACTTAGAACAGGAGCTAGGGTGTCCCCACTCCGGGGGGCTCTCTCTGCCCTGGGCACTTCTCCGACCCACTGACTTGATAATTCCATACCGTTCAAAGCAAATACAATTTATTAAACAGCAACTAATAAAAAAAAAAAAGGGAAAATGGGAAAGGTTAAAGGAAAACCTGTCACTCCGCTCTGTGGCACGGGGACATCACAGCCAGCCATCTCTGGGTTGCAAAGGGCAGTTCACAGTCTGTTCTTCACACACCCCAGGCCTCCTGCCCAGGCCCTGGCTTTGCTGCAGGTCGACACATGCTCTGGCGGTGGCCACCCGCCCCTGGGTGGTGGCAGCCTTCTTCCCAGCATCACCCCTGCCCTACAAGGCCTCTTGGCTGGAGGCATCTTCCTGCGCTGGGCCCACAGCCCAGGGTCCCCCTCGTTCTCCCCAGCTGCTCACTGCACCCGGCTCTGGACTGCTCCAGCTCCAATGCAGCTCCCTGGGCTGCTTTTCCAGCCCCTCTGGCTCCGGTCAGCACATCTCTGCTCCCCAGCTATTCTTCGGCTCCTGCCCTCTCCTTAGCTTAGCCCCACGCTAGCCCAGGTAGTTCCAGGAAGGATGGGACCCGCTGTCCTGGTGACTCCTTCATTGGCCTGCCCGCCCTGTCATAGAATCTCAGGGATGGAAGGGCCCTCAGGAGGTATCTAGTCCAACCCCCTGCTCAAAGCGGGACCGATCCCCAACATCCCTAAATGGCCCCCTCAAGGATGGAACTCACAACCCTGGTTTAGCAGGCCAATGCTCAAACCACTGAGCTATCCCTCCCCAGGCTGACCTGTTGCGCCGGCCCTTCCTCATTGTCCCTGGGAACTGTTAGTCTCAGGATCTCGATTTCTCATTGGACTTTCCCCCTTTTTTTGCGGGGGGGGGGGGGGTTCTGGGAGAGGGCCAACCAAAAACCCCCATTACGTTTTAGTAAGGGTCCAACAGTCCCCTTACGCAGAGCACTCTTGGGTGTATTCCACTTCCTACCAGTTGGAAAAAAAAATATTCCGATGAGTTTGCAATAAGTGAAGTTAAATTTTCTACTGTGTAATACATCTGTCTTATTGACTTTCAGAGGCACACCTTGCAGAGAAAGGTAAGGTCCCTTTGTTCACTGCGGGGACTTTGAAAAATGGAGTTCACTGAGACTTTGCACCAAGTTTCATAGACCTCCAGGGGAGCTATTCAGAACTCTCCCTATGAACAGAAAGTCAGTTTAGTGTGTGCCGTGTGCAGAGACGCTCTGCCCCTTGTCCCTCGCAGTCAGGACACGGACTGAACAGACCCAAGCCCCACTCACAGGGGATTTATCACTCCCACACAGCCCGGGGAGGGAGCAGGTTTGGGTTCACTCTGCTGTCCGGGTAGCCAGCACGATTGTTAAATGGTGGCACTGATGCGCCGTTTCGGCCATCGCTGTGGTCACTCCGCTCGTATGCTCTGCCCCTTCCCCACCCTGTGCCCGTCTTGTTTGGTTAGACTGAGCATTTGGGGGCAGGGACTGGCAGCTGTGCAGTGCCCTGCACTGGCCTAGGCTGGCCGGTGAGGTCTGAGCACAGCCATAACATAGAGAGGGGCACACGCTTTGTTGCTCAGGTAGGCTGAGCTGTACACCCAGGCGAGCCCTCCGTCCTACTGCGGCCAGGTCCTTCACACACACACACCCCCCGGGCAGATCCATTTCCATTTTTCTGATTCTCACCAAAATCAATAGGGTTCTGACTGGGGGAGGAGGGGAGTGGTGGAGTGAGGTGTCTGGCTGGATTGGGGACAAGATACCCGGCTGGACGGGGATGGCTGGAGCGGGATGAAGGGCCCACCCTAAGCCCTCACCCTAAACCCTGAGGTCACTGCCCCACACTGGGTCCTGAGGGAATCAAATGGTGATTTTAGTGGAAATCAGGCTTTGCCAGTGTTCCAATTTTTACCAAAAATCAGGAGGTTTCTGCCCACTGATGCCTAGACAACACCCTGAAGCCTTGGCACTGATGGGATGTGTTTTAACTTTCAGAAGTTATCACGTTACAGACCAACAGAAACACCACTGAGCTGAGTGTGGGCCTTCACTTCCCTCAGCCAGTAATAATCGTTTGTTTTCATAGGAGCCGGGGATCTTTATCTAGACAGGCCTTTAAATGTGTTTTCACTAGTGCCCCAATTCAGCAGGGTAATTAAGCACATGCTGCTTTTTAAGCCATGAGTCAGTCCATCCCCATTCAGCATGTGCTTAAGGGTTTTGCTGAATCAGGCTCTAAAACGGAAGCTTTTCAGAACACATGAATTGTTGCCAGAGCAAATCGGACTCAGGCTAAGCTAGTCTGGGATCCTGCTTCTTACAGTGGCCGGCACTCGCTGTTTCAGGGGAAACCCCCCGAATGCCCGATGGACTAACCTGCCCCCGGGGAAAGCTCCTTCCTGACCCCCATCAGTTAGCGTTTGCCTTGTGCCCTGAAGCAGGAGGAGGTTTCTCTCCCTTAGAGAATACTTGTGTTTTTGAGAACGGTCACAACTCTGGATATTTGCATTTCCATATCAATGCCGGGGCCTTTTTGAATCCTTTGTCCATTTGGGTTTTTTTTCCTTTGCTTGCCTGTTTTGCTTTTAATCCTACCCAGTGTAAATCTTCATCTTCTCTTTAGCCATGTAAATGTCCTTTTGTTTTACTGCTTAGCCTCAGTGCTATCTTGGGGTGAGGAATTTCACAGGCTTATTATGCATCATATAAAATACCGTTTCCTCTTATAGTTTGAGATTTGCTGCCTTTCAGTGTATTTGAGTACCCTCTTGTACAAACACTTCACCTGATGTACTTTTCTTCTTTCTGCTGACTTCACAGGGCTAACAACCTCTTGCAGCTGGCCAGGACGGGGTTACTGTATTTCTCCCCTTGCTGATTCCTTTGTTGCCCAGGAGGTGCCAGGCTCTGGTTGCTGATGTAGCCTCCTGGCTCACTCTAAGGATTTTAACTTCTCTGCTTTAAAGTATTTTTGACTCGCTTTCCTTCTTCAACATAATGCGATACTGACCTGTTTCTCTGTGTTTTATTTTTAGCCAAACTGGAGGCTGAGATCAGTAAGTTCCCTTCCCCCCAGTATCGCCCTTGTGTGACACTGTTTCCTGTTCAGTGTGTCTGTGTTCATGGGCATTCTCACCCCTCTGTCTGTGTTTGGTTACAGGGTGGAGAAGCGCCCAGATCTACGCAGGTACGGTACATGTTGCTGATATTTTATCCATGGTGAGACCCACCTCCCCCTGGGAGCGCTCTGCTCCTTTCCCTACAGAACATTTCCCTATGACAGTCAATAGGCTGGAAACAGCAATGTCACGGGGAGCAGATTACACCCCAGGTTTCTTGCAGGGCAGGGACACGCCCCCTTTGGGAAAGTGCTGATTATGAGGTAATACTGCCTGCTGTCACTTTTCCAGGGTGGTACCTGGGTTCTGCAGGCTGGACATTCTTATCTGCCCATAATTACATAGAAGATCAGGGTTGGAAGGGCCTCAGGAGGTCACCTAGTCCCACCCCCTGCTCAAAGCAGGACCAATCCCCGACTAAATCATCCCAGCCAGGGCTTTGTCAAGCCGGGCCTTAAAAACCTCTAAGGAAGGAGATTCCACCACCTCCCTAGGTAACCCATTCCAGTGCTTCACCACCCTCCTGAGAAAAAGTTTTTCCTAATATCCAACCTAAACCTCCCCCACTGCAACTTGAGACCATTACTCCTCGTTCTGTCATCTGCTACCACTGAGAACAGTCTAGATCCATCCTCTTTGGAACCCCCTTTCAGGTAGTTGAAAGCAGCTATCAAATCCCCCCTCATTCTTCTCTTCTGCAGGCTAAACATCCCCAGTTCCCTCAGCCTCTCCTCATAAGTCATGTGTTCCAGTCCCCTCATCATTTTCGTTGCCTTCCGCTGGACTCTTTCCAAATCCTTCTTGTAATGTGGGGCCCAAAACTGGACACAGTACTCCAGACGAGGCCTCACCAGTGTCGAATAGAGGGGGACGATCCCCTCCCTCGATCTGCTGGCAATGCCCCTACTTATACATCCCTAAATGCCATTGGCCTTCTTGGCAACAAGGGCACGCTGTTGACTTGTATCCAGCTTCTCGTCCACTGTCACCCCTAGGTCCTTTTCTGCAGAACTGCTGCCGAGCCATTCGGTCCCTAGTCTGTAGCGGTGCATGGGATTCTTCGGTCCTAAGGGCAGGACTCTGCACTTGTCCTTCTTGAACCTCATCAGATTTCTTTTGGCCCAATCCTCCAATTTGTCTAGGTCCCTCTGGATCCTGTCCCTACCCTCCCCTCAATTTGCATTGAACTACTCAGCTCTCTTCCCAACAGCAGGGTTTCCATGCTCAGACTGAGCTTTAGCCCCCAGTTTCCTTCTAGTGTAACAGGACCAGTAGAGGGCTGTTCAGAAGGAAGACCTGTCCCCACTCCAAGGGCAGACATGTTTTTACAACCAGTTAGGACACTCCCCGTACAGTTACAAAAAAGTGTGCCCACACGGCAGGTCTTCTGCCACACAACTGTGGCTGAGCTGTGTGTGTGTGTTTGTACCCAGCATGCTGCCAGACCGCGTGCGTCTCCCGGTGCACGCTGGGGGAGTCCAGGCCGCCGGACCGCGTGCGTCTCCCGGTGCACGTTGGGGGAATCCAGGCCGCCAGACCCCGTGCGTCTCCTGGTGCACGCTGGGGGAGTCCAGGCCGCCGGACCGCGTGCGTCTCCCGGTGCACGCTGGGGGAGTCCAGGCCGCCGGACCGCGTGCGTCTCCCGGTGCACGCTGGGGGAGTCCAGGCCGCCAGACCCCGTGCGTCTCCCGGTGCACGCTGGGGGAATCCAGGCCGCCAGACCGCGTGCGTCTCCCGGTGCACGCTGGGGGAATCCAGGCCGCCGGACCGCGTGCGTCTCCCGGTGCACGCTGGGGGAGTCCAGGCCGCCAGACCCCGTGCGTCTCCCGGTGCACGCTGGGGGAATCCAGGCCGCCGGACCGCGTGTGTCTCCCGGTGCACGCTGGGGGAGTCCAGGCCGCCGGACCGCGTGCGTCTCCCGGTGCACGCTGGGGGAGTCCAGGCCGCCGGACCGCGTGCGTCTCCCGGTGCACGCTGGGGGAGTCCAGGCCGCCAGACCCCGTGCGTCTCCCGGTGCACGCTGGGGGAATCCAGGCCGCCAGACCGCGTGCGTCTCCTGGTGCACGCTGGGGGAGTCCAGGCAGTTCCAGCGGGGATTAGAGACCCTAAGGGACATGCACACACCTTGCAGCACCACTGGCCCAGGGCTCCATGTACTCTGGGGTATCCTACGACACACAGCTGGAAGGGAGGGGGGCACTCGGGTCAGTTACACAAACTGTGGGGGGGGGGTCCTGTTGCGGTTGCCCCCTCTGAGGTGCAAAAAATGGCACATCCGCCGGCTCCACATACACCCCCTGTCTCTTCACCCTAAGCGGTGTGGTCCCAGCCCACCCTGGGAGAGGGCACCAGCCCTCTCAGGCTTCTCTTCCTCTCCCTGCCCTGGGCACCAGCCTTGGCAAGCAGGACCTGGCACCAGATCCACCCCACTGCCGTCCGGCAGTTAAACGTCACGGCTGGTACTTCCACGGTGGTGACTGGGCCCTTAGCGGCCCTGAGCTCCTCGTCTCCCGATTACTGGTCCGCTCTGGAGCTAGAGCTCCCATTGAGCAGTTAACGCCACCCCACAGCTTCCCCCCCCCCCGGCCCCCGCCCCACTACAGCCACTGACAAACCCAGGACTTTTAACATCCTGCACGGGCTCACAGATTTCCCAGGACAATGACCTGAACAACGGGCTGATCCCATGAAAACCTGGACAGGTGGCAACCCCAGGTCCAGTCCACACAACCCAGGAACACCCGGCTGAGCCGTACTGGTAATGACCCTACTTATACCTGGCAGGGACGCTGAGCGACCAGCTGCTGTGATCAGTAAGACTGTTAACGCCAGCCCCCGGGGCCCTGGACCCAGCACCAGAGCTGTAACCTAGTTGGAAGGGACGCTGAGAGCTCGCCTAGTCCAGCTCCCTGTACTGGGGCAGGACCTAGGCCATCCCCGACAGGCCTTTGGCCAACCTGTTCTTACAGTCTGTCGGTGATGGGGAGGGAGAGCTCAGTGGTTTGAGCTTTGGCCTGCTAAACCCAGGGTTGTGAGTTCAATCCTTGAGGGGGCCATTTAGGGATCGGGGCCAAAAACTGGGGCTTGAGCAGGGGGTTGGACTAGATGACCTCCTGAGGGCCCTTCCACCCCTGAGAGTCTATGATTCCCTTGGAGCTGGGTCCAGAGCTTCACTGCCCTGAGCGTGGGAAAGCGTTTCCGAATCTCCAGCCTCCGCCTCCCTTGCTGAAGATTGTGCCCAGTGCCCCCGCCCTTCCCACTGGGGGGTGTCACCAAGTGTGAGCACGGCAGTTTCCGCAGCGCGGGGGGGGGGGGGAAGCAGGGTGGGCTGGTTTGGCGGGGGGGGGGCGGTGATGGGAGCTGAGACCTTTCACTTCCCAGTCACCTATCTCAGTCCAGCCTGAGTCCAGTTCTTTGTGGACAGGCGCTCACCTCATAACTCACATTACTGGCAACCTCACTGGCCGTCTCCACGGGGAGACCGAGGCCTGCGTGGGCCGCAGGGACGATCCCACCCCAGGGAGAGGTTCCGGCAGGGGTCAGGGCTGAGCCCCATGGGGGGCTCACACAGCCGCTGTGATGTCCTTGCACACTCAATACGTGGAGCTCCAGCTGCCGGGTTGTAAGCACCACCTCTTGAAGCCACACGTGGGGGGGCGGCGGGGGGCATGTGGGGTCAAGTGCCCCCCCTCCCGCCCCCAGGTCGGCCTGCTGCGGGGAGAGGGAGGAGTTCCCTTCTCCCGCCGGGCCTGCCCCCCAGCACGCTCGGCCCCTGGCCCTGGCGGTGGAGAGCAGAAGGTGCTGGACCAGCTGCTCCTGATGCAGATGCTCACGGATGCCTGCAGCGAGCGTAGTGGCTTCCTGAGAGAGCCTGGCTGGGGCGGCGGGAATGACCGAGCTCTCCCCCTGCCCCCACGGGTAACAGGGGAGAAGAGACAGGGGGCAGGGGGAGAGCTCGGTCATTCCCGCCCGGGCAGCAAGGGGCAGCCCGGGGCTGAGCTCAGGGGAGAAGAGACATGGGGTGGCCACGTGTCCTCCGCTTTAGACTGGGCCCCCAGTATGGGGAGGCAGGCGTCATCGGGCCCCAGCACCGAACTCACTGACGCTGCCCCGAGGCCCCCTCTCCTCCAGAGGTAGGGTGAGGGGGTTAGTACCAGATCCAGCACCTCGTCCCAGGGGCATCTTTGTATTTGCTGGGTGTGCAGAGCTCTCCGGGTGGAGACACTTTTCACGCTGACCTAGGAATCTCTGCCGGGAGGCCCCAGTGCCCAGGAGGCCAAGGGCTCTCGCTCCCCTGCCCGGGGCAGGGTGAAGGGAGGGACCCCGGGGCTGCTGTTCCCCATCCCAGGAATTGGGGGGAGGGTACGTGGACACAGACAATATCCCTGCCTGCGCGGTGAGGGGCAGACCCGGTTCTCCCAGCGGGTGCAGGCGGTCAGCACCACAGGGGCAAGAAGAGCTGGGCCAGGAGCAGAACCGCTGTCAAAGCTCAGGGACCCAGAGAAACCTCTTCCTATCGGGGCCTGCAGGGCCTGTAAACTCTGGGAGGAGTGTCTGGGCAGCCCCAGCCTGGAGCAGCTGTTCGAGGCGTGCACGAGCCCTGAAGAGTCATGGGGAAGCACGTCAGCCCCATAGGCCAGAGATCTGCACGGAGGGGACTCACACACGCTGCTGGCAAAGCCGGGGCGCCTAGATCCTCGGGGGGGAGCAAGGGAGGTTGTTATTATGGAGCCTGGTTGTGACTCCAGAGCTAAGGCCAGGAGATGCTTCCCATATTAACCCCGATCATCCCGCCTCACTTCTTCCCTCCTATAACGTCTCCTTAGCGCTCTCCAGCCTGGGGAAAATCTCTGGATATTTTAGGCCAATCTGGCTGAGTGCAGGGAGAAAATCAAGCGCTCGGCTTTGAGCAAAGTCTCGTGTTTTGAACACAAAGGGTTCATCTCCACAACCCGCGGCAGGGACTCTCAGAGCTGGGGCGACAGACCTGGGCTCCCGATATGGCGGTAATGTGAGGGGTGTAGGCTTTGCAGCTCAGGGAGGGGGTTCACCGAAGCATGCGAAGTGAGATCTTACATGAAAGCCAGCCTGAGCCCAAACGTCTACACAGCGATCTTGAGCCCCACGAGCCCAAGCCTGTCAACCCAGGTGATAACCACGGGGAGTCCTTGTGGCACCTTAGAGACTAACCGATTTATTTGGGCACAAGCTTTCGTGGGTAAAACCCACTTCATCCAATGCATGGAGTGGAAAATACAGTGGGAAGAGATCTATACACAGTATATGAAAAGATGGGAGTTGCCTTACCCATTCCAATGAGACAATTCAATTAAAGCGGGCTAAATTCACTGCCCTGGGCAGTGTAGATGAAACTGGCTGCAGAGTCTTGGTGGGAAAGTTCCCAGCGTGACAGGCGAGGGGCGGGCCTGGCCGCTTGTGGTGACTGTAGGTCCAGCTGGCATGGGGAGTCCCACTTCCCCCCCGGAACAGGAGAGTGGGGAGAGGGCCCTGACCTGCTCTTCGTCGTCACACGGTCTGGTCTGTGCTCAGACTGGAACCAGTCACCTGGCGGGGATCCCTTCAGCGTGCCAGGCCCCAAGAACCCACACAGTTGCCCGTGGCCTCCAAAGCGCCAAGACTGGGCCAGCGGCACCAGCGATCTCTGACTCCCTCCGTTGCTCGCTGCGGTGAATCCAGCCCAGCCAGATCGCTGCCGGAGGCTTGTTCTGGGCCCTTTCAGGGCTCCCTGCTTGCCGTGCGTATTCGTGGGGACACAGGCAGCCTTTGCAAAATGAGGCCCTGCTTTGAGCAGGGGGTTGGACTAGATGATCTCCTGAGGGCCCTTCCAACTCTGATAGTCTATGAGTCTATGAGGGGGCCACGCTGCAGAGTCTGGGAGCCCTCAGGCCAGCACAGAGACGTGCAGCTGAAAGCAAGTGTCCATTCAGTACAGCCCAGAGCCCACCAAGCTGTAGTGAACCCCATGTTCAGGCTCTGTCTGGCCTCCTTAGTCCGTTCCCAGGTCAAAGAACCCTCAGCTTCCTCCAGAAGCCAACACTTTATCCCCCCATCTCACACCTTCACTCCTTTCTTCTTGAGCTGGGGTCTGCTCAGCTTCCCCGCGAGAGGTGGGAAAATCCATCTGCCCCTGGGTCCTTGGGTGTTGGGTGTCAATGTCCTGGTTTTCCATTGTTTTCTCTGATTTTCCATTGATACGGGGAGAGCCTCAGCCAGTCCTTTTCCATGGCCCCGTCAGGCTCAGACAGCCGGGTGACACACGCCTCCTGTGTCTCGCAACTCAGTCCTTTCTCCCCCGCTGGGTAGTCATGGAGAATACAGGGGAAAGTGAGGCACAGATGGGAGTTACAAAAATATTACAGGTCTCAGAGTAGCAGCCGTGTTAGTCTGTATCCGCAAAAAGAACAGGAGGACTTGTGGCACCTTAGAGACGAACCCATTTATTTGAGCGTGAGCTTTCGTGAGCTACAGCATTGCATCCGAGGAAGTCAGCTGTAGCCCACGAAAGCTCATGCTCAAATAAATGGGTTCGTCTCTAAGGTGCCACAAGTCCTCCTTTCCTTTTCACCTGGTCACGGTAACAAACCAACCACACACGGCCTGAAGCAACGGAGATTCCTTGGGGCCTGGCTGTCTCTCACCCTCGCCCCCACCACCCCTGGAGCATGCTCCCCCTTGGCACCTGCCCCTCTCTTCACCCCCTGCCTCCTGCAGCTTGGCCCTTCCCTCACCTCCCTCTGTCCGCCTAAGACCTGCCCCTCTCCTCACCCCAATCTGCCCCCTTGCAGCTGAACGTCTCCTCACCTTCCCTCTGCCTCCGATTTACCCCTCTCCTCTTCTCCTCCCACACTGTGGCCCCCTTCCCCTGCCCCTCAGGTGCTAGCCCCTTCCCTCCTCTGCTGCCCCCAATGCCTGCCCTCCCGCCACCTCTGCCCCATCGTTCCCCTCAAGTTCTCTCTTCGGAGGAGGCCCTGCCCTCCCCTTAATGCACAGCAACCCTGCAACACTGAGCCATGGGAACTCAAGTTAATTTCCCTTTGATCCCAGTGACCAGCCCAGCACTGACTGTGACTTTCTCCCCAGTGGATGTGACTCTGGATCCCGACACAGCAAATCCCTACCTCGTCCTGTCCGAGGATCGGAAACGGGTGCGACACAGAGACAAGCACCAGGATCTGCCTGACAATCCTGAGAGATTTGATACTATGGCGGTTGTCCTGGGTGCTGAGGGATTCACGGGCGGGAGGCGTTACTGGGAGGTGGAGGTCGGAGACAAAAATGTCTGGTCTCTGGGGGTCTGTAGGGAAAATGTGAGCAGGAAGGGGCATATTCTATTTGTACCTGCGAATGGATACTGGACAATATGGCAGGAGGGTGATCAATTAAGGGCCAACACCTCCCCCCCGACTCCCCTCCCCGTGAGTGTCAGGCCCAGCCAGGTGGGGATTTTCCTGGACTATGAGGCGGGCGAGGTCTCGTTTTACAATGTGACTGACAAGTCCCATCTCTTCACTTTCCCTGACAGCATCTCTGGGACGCTCCGCCCTTATTTCAACCCTGAATACAATAAAGGGGGTACAAATATGTCTCCCCTGATCATCTGCCCAGGCCCAGCTCAGGCCAAAGGGAGTATCTGTCCCTGAGAGTGACACCCGCAGCAGAGACTGTCCCCTCCCAGCACTGACCAGCCCCCAGGCCTGTTCCCCTGGGGGTAAAGGGCATTACCTGCCTTTCTCCTGCCATCCCCTCCCCTTTCAGTTCTCAGCATCAGCTGGGGAACGGGAGGGGGCAGAGAAGTGGATGGGGGATAGGATTGCCAACCCCCCCAGGATTGTCATGCAGTCTCCGGGAATTAAAGATTAATCTTTAATTAAAGATTATATCACGTGATGAAACCTCCAGGAATATGTCCAACCAATATTGGCAACCAAGCAACCCTAGAGGGGGAGGTGGCTGCAGGGGCAGAGGGGTGTATGGGTGCCAACCTCATGGGTGGCTGCTTTGGCCAAGGGTGGGGAGGAGGCTGCAGCAGCAGGAAGGGAAGAGCCCAGATCACAAGATGTGCGGGGTGGGGGAGATGAGAGAGGTCTATAAAATCATGCCTGGTGTGGAGAAAGTAAATAAGGAAGTGTCATTTACTCCTTCTCGTAACACAAGGACTGGGGGTCACCAAATGAAATTAAGAGGCAGCAGGTTTAAAACAAAGAAAAGGAAGTATTTCTTCACACAACACAGTCAACCTGTGGAACTCCTTGCCAGAGGATGTTGTGAAGGTCAAGACTATAACAGGGTTAAAAAAGAACTAGACAAATTCATGGAGGATAGGTCCATCAATGGCTATTAGCCAGGTTGGGCAGGGAGGGTGTCCCTAGCCTCTGTTTGCCAGAAGCTGGGAACGGGAGAGAGAGGAGGGATCACTTGATGATTCGCTGTTCTGTTCATTCCCTCTGGGACACCTGGCCCTGGCCACTGTCGGAAGACAGGACGCTGGGCTAGATGGACCTTCGGTCTGACCCAATAGGGCTGTTCTTACGTTTAGTCCCAGTGCTTTATGGTGTCTTAGAGCCTCATTCAAAGCAAACTGAAGTCAACGGGAGCCTTCACCTTGAATTCCGGGGACTTTAAATCCATCTCTCGAGAGTAGTCCAGCTGGGAATTCAGGAGGGTCTGGTTTGGGAATAGATGTTTGGGAGGAGCTTGGCCAGTGGGGAAGTTCAGGTTGAGAGGGGTTGGTTCATAGAGAGGTCTAATCTGGTTTGAACTGGAAGGGTCCAGTTTAGGGATTTTGGTCTGGGGAGGGATGTGGGTCTGGTCTGATTTGGAGGGTTGGCCTGGTCTTTTGGGGGCACAGCTGGTCCTGATCCTCTTCTGTGTGCCCCTCTGCCGTGGGGGAAGGGCAAGCAAGTCTAGTATGAATAACAGTATCAATAAAATGTATTAAAATGTTTATACCTTTTTATTTTAAAAATATTTTCAATCGTTTTAAATTCACCCCAATTTCACACACAAATGTAATTCAAGCACTGATCGTTCCTATGAGAAATGTGAATGGTGAGATAGTGGGAATCATTTATTTTATGTCCACTTGTGTGTGTATCTTTTTGCCCTCGGGCTACCGCTGCCGGTCCCCTCGTGGCAGCCACCTCCGTCTGCAACTTCGACGTGTAAATAAAACCTGTGTACCTATGTGCTGTGTCAAAGACAACTCCTGTGTCCATCTCTGCGTAACCCCATGGGCTACAGGAAAGGGACCAGAGGAGTTGGCATCCACTGATACGTGGGCCTGCATGTTGTCATGGAAGCCGCGTATAAGGTTGATTAGTTTGTCTGGGCAGCCAAACTTGGCAAAAAAGCACCAGACAGACAAGCATCTGACACAGTCGAACACCTTACTAAGGTCGACAAAGGCAACGTACGAAGGCATTTCTTGTTCAGAAGCTTTCTCCTGTAATTGGCGGAGGGTAAATAGCATGTTTGGCCTGAGGTTGGTACTCACGTTCGTCAGCTATTCCAGAGGGGGGAACTGAACCTGGGTCTCCCACAGCTCAGGTGAGTGCTCTAACCATGGGGCTAAAAGTTATAAGGCAGGTGACGTGACCAAACCCACCTCTTCCTTCCAGGAGTTTAGGCACCTGACTCAGCTTTGTGGCTCTGTTATTTTCTAGCTGCCTAAAAGTTAGGTCCTGTGATGCTCAGCATTGCAATGCCTAAGTCCCCTCTTATGCTGCACCCTGTGTAAACCAGTCAGCTCTCCGCAGAGCACAGCTGAGCAGTTCCTGATTGACATGGATGTGTACAGGACAAGAGACAGCACAGGCTGGATAGTGACATATCACAGTAAAACCCAAACTCTCCTCCTAGAGGCAAGATATTCCCTGTGGGTGCTGGGGGGACACACATCCCATGACTCTACCTCCAGCAACTGGACCTAGGACAGTAAAGTGGAAGAAACAAGAAGAATTGTTTGTAATGTTTTATTTACAGCAAGTAGCTGGAAGGCAGGAAAGTAAAAGGAGCTTTAATAACCCTGTTAGACCAACAATAGTAGTCTCCCTACGGGGTGGGGAGCAAGCAGATACAGGACACAGTGTTGGTACAAAACTAACCTTACTCACTCCACATTCACACCCCAAACATACTATACCAGAGTCCAAAGGTATAAGAGAAGGGTTATTTGGGGGGGATGTCAGAACAGACTTTAGGTCATTTCACATCACGCGTCTCACGGGCGATTTCTCTGCAGAGACGTTTTAGACTCTCGCGCTGGGGAAATGCTCGGTCACTCCAGTGTAGACCCCCTCCCCTCCCACCAGGGCTAAACCCACTGAGACCCTTTAAACCTGATATTCCCCAGGACGGCGCGTTCCCCCAACAGAGGGGGGACTATGCAGAGCTAGGGACCAAGCAAAATCTGTCCAGTGCTGAGACAGGAACTGGATCTGAGCAGGTTTCGGAACCCATGGCCTCTCTCCCCACTTATTCCTCCTCGGTTTTTCTTTCCCCTCCTGGCTCAGAGACTTGGTGATTGTCTATTCCTGGAGGCCTTCCCTATCCTGCAAGAGCTAATGCCATTTCGGCTTGACACTCTGCCTCATCCCCATCACTACAAAACACGGGTGGGGTATCAGTCTCTCGGGCTGCGATACAGACAGAGCAGCGAAAAGGTTACCGGGCCCAGCTTCAGGCTGCCTAATATCTAAGCCCCTTCGTTTTCAGTTTAACCCGATTTTTCCGAAAAATAAAGCATTATTCATTTTTTTTCTGGTTGCCACCCTACTTTTGTATCATTCAAATACGCAAACAACAACTTGTTTTGTTAGAAAAGTACACTCCATTAAGAGAGATAGATGCATTCTGAGAATACATGAGTCTCTGTGTATACGCAAAGCTGCCTGTTGAAGAAAGGCTCCGTATTCGTCGTGAAGATACACACAATAAACAAACAGGCATGCACGCCCGATCTGAAATGCTTGCACATCTGAATGTACTGATCATAAATGATCTGGAGGATGGGGTGGATTGCACCCTCAGCAAGTTTGCAGATGACACTAAACTGGGAGGAGAGGTAGATACGCTGGAGGGCAGGGATAGGATACAGAGGGACCTAGACAAATTGGAGGATTGGGCCAAAAGAAATCTGAGGAGGTTCAAGAAGGACAAGTGCGGAGTCCTGCACTTAGGACGGAAGAATCCCATGCACCGCTACAGACTAGGGACCGAATGGCTCGGCAGCAGTTCTGCAGAAAAGGACCTAGGGGTGACAGTGGACGAGAAGCTGGAGATGAGTTAACAGTGTGCCCTTGTTGCCAAGAAGGCCAATGGCATTTTGGGATGTATAAGTAGGGGCATTACCAGCAGATCGAGGGACGTGATCGTTCCCCTCTATTCGACATTGGTGAGGCCTCATCTGGAGTACTGTGTCCAGTTTTGGGCCTCACACTACAAGAAGGACGTGGAAAAATTGGAAAACGTCCAACGGAGGGCAACAAAAATGATGAGGGGACTGGAACACTTGAGTTATGAGGAGAGGCTGAGGGAACTGGGATTGTTTAGTCTGCGAAAGAGAAGAATGAGGGGGGATTTGATAGCTGCTTTCAACTACCTGAAAGGGGGTTCCAAAGAGGATGGCTCTAGACTGTTCTCAGTGGTAGCAGATGACAGAACAAGGAGAGTGGGGGAGATTTAGGTTGGATATTAGGAAAAACTTTTTCACTAGGAGGGTTGTGAAGCACTGGAATGGGTTCCCTAGGGAGGTGGTGGAATCTCCTTCCTTAGAGGTTTTTAAGGTCAGGCTCGACAAAGCCCTGGCTGGGATGATTTAGTTGGGGTTGGTCCTGCTTTGAGCAGGGGGTTGGACTAGATACCTCCTGAGGTCCCTTCCAACCCTGATAGTCTATGATTCTATGAATCTCACGCCCATCACGTACACATTTCAAGCTGTTAGCAGATACAGGTTTAAAGATTTGACACACTAAAATGGGAAGAAAATGACAGGCTCTCTCAGAATGCGTTTCAGAGCACAAGTATTCAAAAGTTTTCAGAAAACCAACCCAGAAGAAAAGGATGAAGCTGAGTGTATATGCTGCCAACGGCGTGGCCCCGTTCACTTCATCAGATGCATGTAGCTCACGAAAGCTTATGCTCAAATAAATTGGTTCGTCTCTAAGGTGCCACAAGTCCTCCTTTTCTTTTTTCATATAAAACGTAACACTCTCTTCCCATTCATAGGCAACAGGGATACAAAATCATGAAGGATCCAGCACAAGGTTTCTCAGCTGGTGGATTGCAACGCCCAGAGGTTCATGACAGGCAGTCAGATGGGCCGTGAGATACTGACAGATTTACTATGATCTTAAGCAAAGAAAATTTCCCTCCCCCACTTCCTGGACTTTTAGCCCTCAAGGACAACTACTTTCTGGCAGCCTCTTGAAGCGCAGGCATGCAGGTTGTATAGGATCAAGCTTGATACGCGTTTTATTCTCACGTCATAGTAAATGTCAGGGGATCCCAAAGGGAAAAGAAGGATTTCAAATAAAGGGTCGCCGACGTGAAAAGCGTGAGAAACACCAACATTACGGCAGCTCCATCTCTGTTCCAGACGAACATTCAAAGCCAGTCTGCATGCAGTAAACCAACCTGTGATAAGGCCTTCAGTGGCCGGGCGGCCTACTGGCAAGATTGTCGGCCAGAGGGAGTGCAGGGGGACCTGGGCCCTCCCGCTCCACCAGGTCCCAGCCCAGGGCCCTGTGTAGTTGAACCCCTAAACAGGGGAGATGGGTGTCCTCAGGGTCTGGATATTTTGTCTTGGTCTCATCCTAGTTCACACCATTCGGGCGGTTGTTCCTTTCCCCAAAGGGAAACACCTCCCCTGAGATCTGGATTCGCTCTGAATCCCCATCAGACGTCACATCAGGAGGGAATCAGTCACGGGGCTCACCCAGCTTCCCCTTGTTCCACCCTTCCCAGGTGCACATCGGGGCTGGAGGCCGTGATGCCCTGTCGCGAACATGGTTATTGGTCTGAAATCTCCCCCCGGCCCATCAGAGACAGACACGTACCTGTGTCACTCCC